AAAAATCTTGTATGCGAAAAACAAATGGCGTCCTATTGGCAAATTAAATTTTTTTACACACACTCACATTTTGGCAATAACATTTTGCCGAAATTTTTGAGATTGCCACTCTTCACTCATTTTGTATTAACTATTTTATGAACTTTTCTTAATATTTAAACTATTTATTTATGAAAAACAAATATTCTTTAAATTTTAATAAATTTCACAAAATTTGTTTGCACCGCAATGAAAAAATTACTACAGCTGTTTTATTAATAGAGAAGTAATACCAATGAATACCTAAGTACTCAAAGATAGTAAACATTATAAGTAATCATTTTGCAAAAGCAAATATATGAGTTTTGCTCATCCTAAAAGTATGCTATAACTCTAAGTCAAAAATATATTTTGCTATTTTAGGAAAGCAGCGTAACCAATTGTAACTAAACTAACACGGAGAAATTATATATAACAGTGTATTACAATGAATTACTAGAGAATAAATATAAAAACAACAAGTTTTATTTTAAATAATTTATAAAATTTCAAGATCTAGTTTTTAAGTTTCATATTACAATCATATGTCAACAATTTTTTATTAATATCTTCGTTATTTAGTCAAGACATCTACCAAATTAAATATTCTTCGGACATAATATGGCAGCTCCCATTGTCGATGAGATTTTTCACTACTGGCAATGACATTGTAAACAATAGAACAGGTATGGAAAATTGTATTTTGGAACGCAATATGGTCTAGTCCAGTGTACCCAGGTCTAGTCTATAGTGAAGTCTATAGTCTAGTCTATAGTATAGTCTATAGTCTAGTCTAGTAGTCTAGTATATAGTCTAGTCTATAGTCTAGTCTAGTCTAGTCTAGTCTATAGTCTAGTCTATAGTCTAGTCTATAGTCTAGTCTATAGTCTAGTCTATAGTCTAGTCTATAGTCTAGTCTATAGTCTAGTCTATAGTCTAGTCTATCTAGTCTATAGTCTAGTCTATAGTCTAGTCTATAGTCTAGTCTATAGTCTAGTCTATAGTCTAGTCTATAGTCTAGTCTATAGTCTAGTCTATAGTCTAGTCTATAGTCTAGTCTATAGTCTAGTCTATAGTCTAGTCTATAGTCTAGTCTATAGTCTAGTCTATAGTCTTCTATAGTCTAGTCTATAGTCTAGTCTATAGTCTAGTCTATAGTCTAGTCTATAGTCTAGTCTATAGTCTAGTCTATAGTCTAGTCTATAGTCTAGTCTATAGTCCAGTCTATAGTCTAGTCTATAGTCTAGTCTATAGTCTAGTCTATAGTCTAGTCTATAGTCTAGTCTATAGTCTAGTCTATAGTCTAGTCTATAGTCTAGTCTATAGTCTAGTCTATAGTCTAGTCTATAGTCTAGTCTATAGTCTAGTCTATAGTCTAGTCTATAGTCTAGTCTATAGTCTAGTCGATAGTCTAGTCTATAGTCTAGTCTATAGTCTAGTCTATAGTCTAGTCTATAGTCTAGTCTATAGTCTAGTCTATAGTCTAGTCTATAGTCTAGTCTATAGTCTAGTCTATAGTCTAGTCTATAGTCTAGTCTATAGTCTAGTCTACAGTCTTGTCTATAGTCTAGTCTATAGTCTAGTCTATAGTCTTGTCTATAGTCTAGTCTATAGTCTAGTCTATAGTCTTGTCTATAGTCTAGTCTATAGTCTAGTCTATAGTCTTGTCTATAGTCTAGTCTATAGTGCAGTCTATAGTCTAGTCTATAGTCTAGTCTATAGTGTAGTCTAAAGTCTAGTCTATAGTCTAGTATATAGTCTAGTCTAAAGTCTAGTCTATAGTCTAGTCTATAGTCTAGTCTATAGTCTAGTCTAAAGTCTAGTCTATATTCTATAGTCTAGTCTATTTCTAGTCTATAGTCTAGTCTATAGTCTAGTCTATAGTTTAGTCTATAGTCTAGTCTATAGTCTAGTCTATAGTCTAGTCTATAGTCTAGTCTATAGTCTAGTCTATAGTCTAGTCTATAGTCTAGTCTATAGTCTAGTCTATAGTCTAGTCTATAGTCTAGTCTATAGTCTAGTCTATAGTCTAGTCTATAGTCTAGTCTATAGTCTAGTCTATAGTCTAGTCTATAGTCTAGTCTATAGTCTAGTCTATAGTCTAGTCTATAGTCTAGTCTATAGTCTAGTCTATAGTCTAGTCTATAATCTAGTCTATAGTCTAGTCTATAGTCTAGTCTATAGTCTAGTCTATAGTCTAGTCTATAGTCTAGTCTATAGTCTAATCTAAAGTCTAGTCTATATTCTATAGTCTAGTCTAGTCTATTGTCTAGTCTATAGTCTAGTCTATAGTCTAGTCTATAGTCTAGTCTATAGTCTAGTCTATACTCTAGTCTATAGTCTAGTCTATAGTCTAGTCTAACTCCTAGTCTATAGTCTAGTCTATAGTCTAGTCTATAGTCTAGTCTATAGTCTAGTCTATAGTCTAGTCTATAGTCCTAGTCTATAGTCTAGTCTATAGTCTAGTCTATAGTCTAGTCTATAGTCTAGTCTATAGTCTAGTCTATAGTCTAGTCTATAGTCTAGTCTATAGTCTAGTCTATAGTCTAGTCTATAGTCTAGTCTATAGTCTAGTCTATAGTCTAGTCTATAGTCTAGTCTATAGTCTAGTCTATAGTCTAGTCTATAGTCTAGTCTATAGTCTAGTCTATAGTCTAGTCTATAGTCTAGTCTATAGTCTAGTCTATAGTCTAGTCTATCGTCTAGTCTATTAGTCTAGTCTATAGTCTAGTCTATAGTCTAGTCTATAGTCTAGTCTAATAGTATAGTCTATAGTCTAGTCTAAGTCTAGTCTATAGTCTAGTCTATAGTCTAGTCTAGTTATTGTTCTAGTCTATAGTCTAGTCTATAGTCTAGTCTATAGTCTAGTCTATAGTCTAGTCTATAGTCTAGTCTATAGTCTAGTCTATAGTCTATAGTCTAGTCTATAGTCTAGTCTATAGTCTAGTCTATAGTCTAGTCTATAGTCTAGTCTATAGTCTAGTCTATAGTCTAGTCTATAGTCTAGTCTATAGTCTAGTCTATAGTCTAGTCTATAGTCTAGTCTATAGTCTAGTCTATAGTCTAGTCTATAGTCTAGTCTATAGTCTAGTCTATAGTCTAGTCTAGTCTAGTCTATAGTCTAGTCTATAGTCTAGTCTATAGTCTAGTCTATAGTCTAGTCTATAGTCTAGTCTATAGTCTAGTCTATAGTCTAGTCTATAGTCTAGTCTAGTCTAGTCTAGTCTATAGTCTAGTCTATAGTCTAGTCTATAGTCTAGTCTATAGTCTAGTCTATAGTCTAGTCTATAGTCTAGTCTATAGTCTAGTCTATAGTCTAGTCTATAGTCTAGTCTATAGTCTAGTCTATAGTCTAGTCTATAGTCTAGTCTATAGTCTAGTCTATAGTCTAGTCTATAGTCTAGTCTATAGTCTAGTCTATAGTCTAGTCTATAGTCTAGTCTTACTTAGTCTAGTCTATAGTCTAGTCTATAGTCTACTTTATAGTCTATTGTATAATCTAGTCTATTGTCTATTGTATTGTCTAGTCTATAATCTAGTCTATAGTTTGGTCTATAATCTAGTCTGTCGTCTGCCACTATAGTATAATTTTTTTAACCTTAAGAAGTACTCTTCATTATTTAAATTTTCCTTGTCTGAGTCTAGTCTATAGTCTAGTCTATAGTCTAGTCTATAGTCTAGTCTATAGTCTAGTCTATAGTCTAGTCTATAGTCTATAGTCTAGTCTATAGTCTAGTCTATAGTCTAGTCTATAGTCTAGTCTAAGTCTAGTCTATAGTCTAGTCTATAGTCTAGTCTATAGTCTAGTCTATAGTCTAGTCTATAGTCTAGTCTATAGTCTAGTCTATAGTCTAGTCTATAGTCTAGTCTATAGTCTAGTCTATAGTCTAGTCTATAGTCTAGTCTATAGTCTAGTCTATAGTCTAGTCTATAGTCTAGTCTATATCTAGTCTATAGTCTTAGTTCTAGTCTATAGTCTAGTCTACTATGTCTAAGTCTATAGTCTAGTCTATAGTCTACTTTATAGTCTATTGTATAATCTAGTCTATTGTCTATTGTATTGTCTAGTCTATAATCTAGTCTATAGTTTGGTCTATAATCTAGTCTGTCGTCTGACTATAGTATAATTTTTTTAACCTTAAGAAGTACTCTTCATTATTTAAATTTTCCTTGTCTGAGAGAGAGAGAGAAAAATATGATAAAGAGAATCCCTAAAATTTACTCATGGAAATTAATACGAAGCTGGCAATACTGCTAAAAATAGGATAGAATTTTGTATTTCCTTTTCCTTAATGTTTTAATGAGATCCGTTTGGATATTAGGGCGTATGAATAACATGGAATTTTCAATTATCAAATATTCAAAGAAAAGTAGATTCAAATAAAACATATCTTTTAAATTTGATTTACATTAAAATTATAAATTTTGTATTTTTCTTTATGTCGAGTTATCATTGTAATAGAAATAAATTACCTCTATAAGAGTATACAATTTAAGAGAAATTATTTTTAACTGTTTTTTTTTTTCAATCAATACTCAGCTCTTTAGTTATTTCATTGCAGCTTTTTGTTTAAACTTAAAAGCATACTATTTTGTCATTTTCAGCTCATTCGCTTAACGTCTGTTGTCTAAAACGTATCGTTCGTTGCTATAGTTAAATTTAAGTTTTCTTTTTGTTTTAAATAAAAATAAAAAAATAATAATTAAAAAAACCTTTATTGAAAGAAATAAAAACAAAAAAAAGCACATACAAACGCGCGTGTTTTGTTTTCAGTTTTATTTCTTCTTTCTTTTTGTTTTTTGTGATTTTATTATATTGCTTTTAAAAAACAAAGTTACAAACCTATAAATGTATAATATAAGAAATAAGAAAAAACAAACATTTTGTTAACAATTTGCGTTATCGTTTTGAAATAAATCGTTAATAAAAAAAAAAAAAAATACATATGTACGGTTTTTGAGTAAAATTTATAATTTATAGAATGAATTAAAAAAAAGTAAAAATACAAAAGTTTTATTTAGAAAAAACAAGAGAAATGTTTAAAATAATGCTCTTGCTTGGTGATTTTTTATTTAAAAATAAAATACGCTGAATTTAAAATTATAAAGAGTGTGAGTGAGTGTTAGAGTAAAAAAATTATAAAAAAAGTTTTCGTTTCAGATTTTTTTTAGCGCGCTAGTGTGTGAAACGTAAAACGAAGTTTTTAAAATTGAAAAAATTTTATACAAAAAAATGCTGACGTTTTAAATTTTAAATTAACAAATATGTTTGCTAAAACGTATAAAAAGAAAGAATTAAAAAATATAAAAATAGTTATAAATAATGAAAAGATAATTGTTATAAATTAATTTGTAAAAAGAAAAATTTTAAAAATAAATAAAATTTTAAATTAATAGAAAAATTAAACAGTGTCTTTAAATAATGTATACTTTTACAAATAATCAAAAACTTACAACAATTTAATAAAACATCAACACAGACTAAACTAAATGTAAGTACTCTTCAAAAAGTTTATATTAATTTGTTGAAACTTTTGTTTGAGACAACAAAAGTTGACAAATATGTAAAATAATTAAATAAAACGTAGCAGTTAGATAGAAACAACAACAACAGCAGCAAAATAAACCTTTCAACAAAAACAAATAAAACACCTTGAAAGAAATTTCTACACCAACAAAATAAAGATCACCCATTTATTTAACTCACACCTCCCACCCCATTCCAATTTAAACACTTAACTCTCTTAAACCAGCAGCTACCGTTATTTACAAATTTAAAATAATTTTAGAAAAAAAAAACCTTTAGTAATTTTGCTTTCATTTAAAATTATGCAAGAGAAAAAAACCTTCTCTCTCTCTGTGATAAAAAGAGTATAAGTATTAAAACTCATTTAAGAAAGTACAAACGAGTACAAAAAAGTGCGTGATTTTATTTTGTTTTTATTTACGTGTACTTATTTAAGCCACAAAACGAAAATCAAAACATACAACAACAAAAAGAAAACAAAAACAAGTGCAAGGTGCATTTTTAAGTCAGGCATGGGAAATTGATATATTTTAGATATCAGTTTTATAGATTTACATATATACTATAGACTAGACTATACACTAGACTATAGAATTGACTATAGACTAGATCATAGAATAGACCATAGAATAGATTATAGACTAGACTATAGACTAGACTATAGACTATACTATAGACTAGACTATAGACTAGACTATAGACTAGACTATAGACTAGACTATAGACTAGACTATAGACTAGACTATAGACTAGACTATAGACTAGACTATAGACTAGACTATAGACTAGACTATAGACTAGACTATAGACTAGACTATAGACTAGACTATAGACTAGACTATAGACTAGACTATAGACTAGACTATAGACTAGACTATAGACTAGACTATAGACTAGACTATAGACTAGACTATAGACTAGACTATAGACTAGACTATAGACTAGACTATAGACTAGACTATAGACTAGACTATAGACTAGACTATAGACTAGACTATAGACTAGACTATAGACTAGACTATAGACTAGACTATAGACTAGACTATAGACTAGACTATAGACTAGACTATAGACTAGACTATAGACTAGACTATAGACTAGACTATAGACTAGACTATAGACTAGACTATAGACTAGACTATAGACTAGACTATAGACTAGACTATAGACTAGACTATAGACTAGACTATAGACTAGACTATAGACTAGACTATAGACTAGACATAGACTATAGCTAGACTATAGACTAGACTATAGACTAGACTATAGACTAGACTATAGACTAGACTATAGACTAGACTATAGACTAGACTATAGACTAGACTATAGACTAGACTATACTAGACTATAGACTACTATAGACTAGACTATAGACTAGACTATAGACTAGACTATAGACTAGACTATAGACTAGACTATAGACTAGACTATAGACTAGACTATAGACTAGACTATAGACTAGACTATAGACTAGACTATAGACTAGACTATAGACTAGACTAACTAGACTATAGACTAGACTATAGACTAGACTATAGACTAGACTATAGACTAGACTATAGACTAGACTATAGACTAGACTATAGACTAGACTATAGACTAGACTATAGACTAGACTATAGACTAGACTATAGACTAGACTATAGACAGACTATAGACTAGACTATAGACTAGACTATAGACTAGACTATAGACTAGACTATAGACTAGACTATAGACTAGACTATAGACTAGACTATAGACTAGACTATAGACTAGACTATAGACTAGACTATAGACTAGACTATAGACTAAGACTATAGACTAGACTATAGACTAGACTATAGACTAGACTATAGACTAGACTATAGACTAGACTATAGACTAGACTATAGACTAGACTATAGAACTAGACTATAGACTAGACTATAGACTAGACTATAGACTAGACTATAGACTAGACTTATAGACTAGACTATAGAAGACTATAGACTAGACTATAGACTAGACTATAGACTAGACTATAGACTAGACTATAGACTAGACTACTATAGACTAGACTAATAGACTAGACTATAGACTAGACTATAGACTAGACTATAGACTAGACTATAGACTAGACTATAGACTAGACTATAGACTAGACTATAGACTAGACCTATAGACTAGACTATAGACTAGACTATAGACTAGACTATAGACTAGACTATAGACTAGACTATAGACTAGACTATAGACTAGACTATAGATAGACTATAGACTAGACTATAGACTAGACTATAGACTAGACTATAGACTAGACTGTAGACTAGACTATAGACTAGACTATAGACAAGACTACAGACTAGACTATAGACTAGACTATAGACTAGACTGTAGACTAGACTATAGACTAGACTATAGACAAGACTATAGACTAGGACTGTAGACTAGACTATAGACTAGACTGTAGACTAGACTATAGACTAGACTATAGACTAGACTATAGACTAGACTATAGACTAGACTATAGACTAGACTATAGACAAGACTATAGACTAGACTGTAGACTAGACTGTAGACTAGACTATAGACTAGACTATAGACTAGACTATAGACTAGACTGTAGACTAGACTATAGACTAGACTATAGACTAGACTATAGACAAGACTATAGACTAGACTATAGACTAGACTGTAGACTAGACTGTAGACTAGACTATAGAAGAGACTATAGACTAGACTATAGACTAGACTATAGACTAGACTGTAGACTAGACTATAGACAAGACTATAGACTATACTATAGACTAGACTGTAGACTAGACTATAGACTAGACTATAGACTAGACTATAGACTAGACTATAGACTAGACTATAGACTAGACTATAGACTACTATAGACTAGACTATAGACTAGACTATAGACTAGACTATAGACTAGACTATAGACTAGACTATAGACTAGACTATAGACTAGACTATAGACTAGACTATAGACTAGACTATAGACTAGACTATAGACTAGACTATAGACTAGACTATAGACTAGACTATAGACTAGACTATAGACTAGACTATAGACTAGACTATAGACTAGACTATAGACTAGACTATAGACTAGTCTATAGACTAGACTATAGACTAGACTATAGACTAGACTATAGACTAGACTATAGACTAGACTATAGACTAGACTATAGACTAGACTATAGACTAGACTATAGACTAGACTATAGACTAGACTACAGACTAGACTATAGACTAAACTATAGACTAGACTGTAGACTAGACTATAGACTAGACTATAGACTAGACTATAGACTAGACTACAGACTAGACTATAGACTAGACTATAGACTAGACTATAGACTAGACTATAGACTAGACTATAGACTAGACAAGACTAGACTAGACTAGACTATAGACTAGACTATAGACTAGACTATAGACTAGACTATAGACTAGACTAGACTATAGACTAGACTATAGACTAGACTATAGACTAGACTACAGACTAGACTATAGACTAGACTATAGACTAGACTATAGACTAGACTATAGACTAGACTATAGACTAGACTATAGACTAGACTATAGACTAGACTATAGACTAGACTATAGACTAGACTATAGACTAGACTATAGACTACACTATATATTAGACTATAGACTACACTATATATTAGACTATAGACTAGACCATAGATGAGGCTAGCTTATATTCAAATTACCATAATACAAAATTTTCCATGTCTGGTTTAAATTATTTATAGGGTTGAATGTTTGTCACATTCGACATTAATGTGCAATTATATTTAGGTATGTGTCTGTGTGAGAGACAGCATATTCTCTTTATGCATTTGTTAAATGACTGAGTGCCCTGACAAACATACAAACAATTTAATGTCTTCAATTTGTTATTGTTGTGTCACGTTTGCTTTAAAATGATTTAAACTAATTTATAGTATGTATAAATGCATTTTTTTAATAAAACTTTTTAAACTCACGCGCATTTTGTTAATAATTCATAAATTACTTTTAAATTGAACCAAAATAAACAAAAAAAAAAAAATACAAAAAAAACAATAAAATACCGTCAATCATTAATGTATTCATATTTTTGTTATTTTTTGCATTTTTTTATTATTTATGATTATCATCATTTACTTTTCTCCCTCATTACGCCAACTAAGTGTACATGTCAATGTTTGTTATTGTTGTTGTAATATTTAAACAGATTATATAGATACTTGTAGTTTGTAAAAGTAAATACCCTCTTTTAGTATAAAATTTCAATATTGTAATTTGTTTTTAGTACTGCTGCACAGTGGGCCCTCACCTAGGATCATCTTTTATTCAAAGTTTTTATAAATTTTGATAACATATGACGTATTTATCTATATTTCATGATCGACTTTGAAACTTGCATTTCAAATTTTTGATAAGATTTCGATTATCACGATTTTTTATAGTTTGATTTATTTGTTTAATATTTCTAACAAAATTGTATCTTTTCATAGCAGACCATAGTGCAGAAGTTAAATTTTTGTACAATTTTGTTATTCCTGCTATTTATTGTCATTTTGTATGGGTGTCTTTCATTTTAGTTGTTGTCATATACTTTCCTTTAATTTACATAGAGAGTACATTCATACATATATACATACATATGTACTTACTTATGTATGTATAAACATTTCTATATACAAATTTACTTACACACGTAAAAATTTAAATTTGCTCCCGTGGCCTATTGTTATTATAGGTAGTTTTGTTGTTATTATTGTTGTTATACCTAGTTGATTACTTTCGTGCTTGTTACAATAAAAAAATTAAAACAAAAATGTTGTCAACCGTTGACGTTTACTCGTTTATTTACTTATACCAGTCAGTCAGTCATTTAGTCTGTCTGTCAGTCTCTCTATAAATGTAAAAATGTAGTTTTGTTTTTTTTTTTTTTTGCCGCTTCTGCCTTTTTTGAGCAACTACTACAACAAAATCGAA